CTTAACACTATTCCTGACATTTGAATTGAAAAAGCCTCCCGGATGGGAAGCGCAATGTCTTCAAACATGGAAACAGAATCCAGTGGATTGTTTTATTTTCTATTTTTGGAATGACTTTATGACCTGGATGACTTAGAATTTTCACCAGCATATATTGCAGAGTGAACAGAGTAAAAGACGCTGCATATAAAATACTAATGATGCAATTATCATAAGAAAAAGTCCTGCACTGTTCCAAACCACCTCTCAGCTATGCAAAAAGCATCAAGACATCTTAGAACTTTTCTAGGGTTCTCTGCAGGAGTCATGAGGCTTTAGGCATTCATTGCATTAGTTACAGGCTGATTGTATCCTCCTGAGACCCGAGCTTTTGTTTGATGTGCATTTTTTATGTCTCCTTACTATTTGGGATTAGTATGACCTAATTTTAGTTGAAATTAAATTTTAGCTTTCTATGTGCTCTTGAACTATGTCAAAACCAATGCCCTCATATGAGGACAGTGGGTCTGTTTTCGCATATACATTTTTTCCTTGCCATTTGGGATCATAAGGACCCAATTAGCCTAAAAATGAAATTTTAGCTTTCTACAATAAGTGGTTATCTCAAAACCTAATGTCCTCATATGAGGACATTGGGTCTATCTGTGTGACGATAAGACCATTCAGTCAATGTTATTATTTACATCTGTGTTTCACAGTATGTACAGTTACGCTGCTTTCTGTCCAGACTTTCACAATGAAGACACCATTGGTTAATAAAGTACAAAAGTTTATTTTATATTGCCATTGTCCACTTCTTAGTTCGCATGCTCATCCTGTAGTAGTTCGTCATTCTGTCTGATAAGTCGACCCCACCCATCTTTGCATTGTACTCCTGTACAATATTTGGTCGTCTGATGGTTAAGTAGCATTTGTCCTTCCTGGACCACCGCTGGCAGGTATCCTCCGGCTCCTTAGCGTGGACAGCAGAGAGCATCAGGACCGGCTTGTTGTCAAACCATTTCACAACATTCAGTTTCCCATCTCCCCTGACAACTGATGCGGAAGTACCTCTGCCTTGCTGCTTCATGATCTTGTCACTTGGAAGCTTCTGCATTGCTTTTGGGATCCTGTTCTTCATGACTGTACCAGTTAGGTACACCTAAAAACAAAACCAATTAGATAATCTCAAAGTGATGTAGCAAGGACAATTTTTTTATGGCAGCCATCTTGACAGAAAACAGGGTAAGCCTGCACCCTGAACCAGACTGACACATCAATTAACCAACAGATGGACACAGATTGATGAATGTTATCATTTGCTGCTGTGAAACCGAAAAAGCAAAAAATAATAACAAACTGAACAGTACTTGGGAAACTATATAAAATATATACCTGCTTCTCCAGCATGGATTCCGCAGCTGATGTGGTGGTGAAGAACCTATCGCAGTACACCTTTGTACCAGGATGTACTGTTTTTGTCAGGCGTTTGAGGACCAGGGCTCCCAAACCCAATCCTTCTCCATCCAGCACCTGTGCAGCCAGTGCCTTTGAACCTTGGTAAACTTCAAAGTCGAGAATGATGCCATCTGCTGTTGCCAGGACAAAATTCCTCATGCCAACTGGATTTGGCTTTAGCGGCACATACTGGCGGAACAGACAGGCTCCAGTGAATGGTATCATCTGTTCATCTATTGAGACGGATTCTGGTCGGGCCTGAGCATGGCAGCCTTTGAGTATGCGATTCATGAAAGGCCTCACCTTCCAGAATTTGTCTTTTTTCCTGTCTTCAGGAATGTCGTCATCAA